GCTTCTGCGGGAAGCCAGCTGCAGCCGTGACGCCATCCGTGCGGGGTCCGTGTGGGGCGAAGGCGAGCCAAGGCCCTGCCGAAGGGATGGGATGCTGCATCCCCGGCGCCGTGCTGGCAGGGATGCCTTGACCTCGGCAGTGCCACCCTCAAACCCCAGCGACCGGGTGCTGCTTGGTCCCATGGTGAGCTCCACAGTGGCAATGAGAAGATGGAGCCAAAGGTGGTGGATGGTACGAATTGAAGTGTTTTATGGGGAAGGCTGCGGCCTCTTTTCTCTCTTAAATGAGGAGCTGGGCCTTTTCCTCCAGCTTCACCACTTACGTGAAGGAAGAGAAAAATTTGCCGTGACCATCCTAACTGCCTCTTGAGTTTCTTCCTGGCCATATCTTGCCTCTTCTGTGCTGTGACCCTGCTTCATCCGGTGGGATTAGCCCCAGCTCCGTCCAGGGTACAACCCAGCAGTGAAGTCTTTTAACAGGGATGTATGTTTCTTACGTTCATTTCCCATCCCTGGAAGAGTGCCTGAATCACCGGCTCAGTAGTGCAGGAACTGTAACATCTCTGGCCACCTTTTTTCACAGCAGACGGGCAAACCATCCTCAGGTCTTCCAGAGAACACAGGGGAGCATCTCCTCCCAGGAGATGATTCCCAGCAGTGGATCCCAAATTGATGGAGGTGTGTGTACAGCCCTGCTTCCAGCACCCAGCAATCAGAGGGATTTTAGCCAGACTTCTGTTTTTATTGATTCCTGTTGAAAGGAAGATCTTGGCTGAGCACAGAGGCTTTCAGAGATCTGTTTCTTTCCTCTGTAGAGTGGGATCAACACCTCTTTCTGGATCCCATGTGGGTCAGGTGTCTTGAAATCCAGATACTGCTGGGTCTGATTTGAGATTGTCTTGGGTCGGGTTCTTCCGCAGGTACTAAATGCCACTTTTAGTTTTCTTTGCATAGGTAAAAAGAAATTGTAGACCTCTGAAACATAGATGCACAGGATTAAACAGTTTCTCTGTTGCTGATTTTCTTCTTTTAAAGCACAATGAAGATGGTACTCGGCCACAGCTGAGTGGCTGGTTTCCTGCTAGGAGGCTCTGGTTTTGTCCCTTGATCTCTTGATTTGGACACTGTTTACAGAAATTTGGCAACAGTTTGAGTGCCTGATACAGAGCATCCTGTGTGCCCGTCTCCCTGCACAGCTGGACCACGGGCAACGGAGTCATCTGCTGCTTTGTGCTTGGGGAGACCTTGCGGTAGGATCTGGGGGTACTGTGAGCTTCAGCGCTTCTGGGTTTATTGCACTGTAACTCCTGGCCAGGAGAATAACCTGACAAGCTACTGCACTTCCAACTGGGCCACTGGACTCTCCAGAGCATGTCTTACCAAAATGAATAGTTTCCAAGCATTGAAGAGGCATGAAAACGTATGGAGAAACCATTAGGGTATAGTAGTAAGGGGAAGGTCAGTAAATTCTGTTTTGTCAAATGAGCAAAAGGTTCTTGTAAGCCTAAGATCAGGAAGGGAATAATAGCATTTGGCCCCGGTTCACCTGCCGGTTCTTACTGTGCAAAGAGCTAAAGCCATCATTTGGCTCAACTGGGGCTTGCTGCAACAGGAATTCCCTCTGAAGGCCAGTACGGCTGCTCACGAGTGAGAAATGCTGCTTGGGCAATGAATGCCCGTTAATGTGATTTACTGTAGTGTGGCGCAATCTGTGAGGGTGTTGCTGCAATGAGCTGGGAGGTGGGAGTTGCTAAGGGTGGCGGACCAAGCCGCAGCGGATCCAGTTACCTGTGGATGGACGGCAGAGGCAACCAGTGTGTAACTGCTTAAAGCATTCCCCATTAGAGCTTTTGTCTTTCCATATCATATTAGGATGGCCTAAGAAATGGCTCTGTGATCTCCTTTATTTTTATAGTATCGCTGCAGGAATTTACATTAAAAAGTAAAACACTTTAAATGGCTGAGGAGCGCTTTTTCATATTTTTGAGACTGACAGTTGTTCTTGTAATGAAACATACCGAATTCTGAGGGATTTCTCTCTGTGGACCTTTAGGGGCTCATTCCCACTCTCCGTGTGGTGGTGTAAATCAGCTGTTACCACAGAACAGTCGAAGCTGACTCCCGAGCTGCAGTTTACTTAAACTTCACAAATTGTGACAGCGATAGGCTGCTTTTGATGCACTTAATTTATCTGAAAAAATGAAATCCTTCCCCACCAGCATTAATGTTTTCAGGAAATACGATCTGAAATTCAGCAATTATTTTAAGGGTTTTCTCTGAATTACACAGCGGTGTGCCTGACTGGTTTTTAATAGTTGTCTATTGAAATAAAGTAACTGCCTTTGGAAGATTATAATGAAATAAGTAAGCCTAGTTTAGGCTTGGAATTAATGCTTTGCAAGGTTGATCTCTAACCCTGAGGCAAGATGCTACTGAACACGCAGGCAGGTTTCTCAGGTGGATTCTCTGTAAGTTTCTTCAGGGTGGGTGCTCTCCCCAAGTCCGCTTGAGCAGCTCACGTAGTTGTCAGGTTTCCTCTACCTCAAGTCATCAGGGGGAGAGATGCACCTTCAGAAGGTAATTTTATACCTTTTAAGTTTTAGGAGGTGTAGTACACAGCTTGAGACATGTTCGTCTTTCCCTGGTGTCTGGTAATGCGTAGATGTCTGTACTCTGTGAGTTTACCCTAGATCCTAAAGTTTTAGCTGTTTTCAGCTAACTGAGATTCAGCGCTTCAGTAATAAAAATGTTTCACATGAGCTTTAATTAGAAAATTCAAACGATGCCGTGCTAAAAATGCAAGCTGGGGAAGACTGTCAGGTTTATGTAGTGAAGGGCTCTGGGGAGCGAAAACATCAAAAGAGTGTCTTGTCGTTGTGCTGCTGGGAGCAGGGCAGAGATTTGGGCTGGTCTAAGCTTAGCCAGTGGAGCTAAGCTGAGCTGAATCAGCCGCTGCCTCTCGTGGGGATGCCACCTTTAAGGCAGCTGTACCAATTAACCATAGTATTTGTAGTATTTGCATACTACAGGTACGGCAAAGAGCAGCTTTACCAGTGCTACAAATACTATCGCTCCCAGTGTTATAAATGAGCGTGTGGTTGGCTAGCTAACGAGGGATTCATCTTACGCTAGCTTGCTGTTACGCTTGACCAAGCTAAGTTGACAGAGCACCTCGCGTACGGTCAGGCTTTGTTTAAACCTCTGTTTTCTTACAGTAAATTGCTTGGATCGACACGTCGAAAAGTCTCCGAACAGAGTGGCTTTGATTTGGGAGAGAGACGAGCCTGGCACCGCAGTGCATGTCACATACAGGTATGGCACCTTCTCACAATGCTTTCGGATGCTCGGCCATGTGGTGGGGTGAGGAGAAGACCTGCTGCACTGAAATCGGACCTCTGTGAAGCTCTGCCTTCTTCCAAGGTACTCCAGCACATAGGACATGCAGCCATGGCGCTGCGGCTAGGTTGTGGTGTCATGATGAGATAGCTCCTGAAAAACGGGGGAATGTTCCCACTGAGAAATGATATTCTTCCCGTGGGTTCTTCATGGAGAGGGCTCCCTGATCTTAGACACCTGTATAATAAGTACACTACAGGGTGGGAGGTACAGTGGATGTAAGTTAGTGACAGCTACTGGAAACTTCAGATTGAGATCTGGCATGATCTTGTGGTTATGATGGTAATCAGGCCTGCCTGTAGGTTCCCTCTCTCTAAGTGGGGGCGTTTAGAAGAGAAAGGCTTGTTTTTTCTCCCTGGCTTATGTTCTTATCTGCCAGTTTTCTTTTTGCTCGTCAGAAGCGTTCATGGGAAAATTTCTGTGAGCAGCTTTCGATTTCAGCACAGCAGTAAATGTCTCGGTGCAAACATCTTGTGTTGATGGTCAACAGAACGATACCGAGTCCTGGCTGGCAGGGACTTGAAGCTCCCTGTGTTCCTCTTCCCCATCCTCATTGCAGTTTGGAGCAACCTTGAGGCAGCTCTGAGTGACGCTGACTTGTAATTGCTGCTCTAGATTGTAGAGTTTGTGAGAATAAGGCAGTTTTCAAGCATATTTCTCTTCTCCCAGCTATGTGTCCTCATTTAGGAGACAGGCCTGCCTGGAAAAACGCCTTTTACATCATCTGTCTCTCCAGTGAGAGTTTTTCCAGACTTCTACGTTCCTCAGTGTGTGTTTTAGGGAGCCACATGTTTGATCTGCTGGATCAGAAAGCAGAGGAGACATAGGAAGTCCTGGCATCTGACTCTTTTACAAAATGTTTTCTGTAGCTTGTTGATAGTTGGGATTCCTGGAGCTCCTTGAGCCTAAATAGGTTCTGGTGGTCTGGTTCACCCCCAGGATTTATTAAAGCTCCTGAAAACATTACTAATTGGAGTGAGGAAGGTGGTCAGCAGGGAGGAGTAGGTGTACAAATAACTTTGAGAGGTTAGTGCTCCACGCAACAGAAATAAACACTATCTGATATAAAGGTGGGGAAGAAGTGGATTGGTTTTAATCTTGGTATTGTTATTTGACAGGCTGTTTAGGCATGTTGTGATATAAATGTGTTGTAACCACCTGGGTAGCTTGCCTAAATGCTTTGAGTTTTGTTTTTGCCATCCTGGTGGTCGAAAATGAGATGGAATCGGAGGTTTCTCCCAGAGTTTGGGGTGGTGTATGTACTTTTACCGCTCTCTTCATGCCCCCGGCATGAAACTGCGGGTACGTCAGAGGTGGGGATTGTGCTGTGATTAACCTGAGAAGGAGAGCAGCCCATCAGATAGCACAGCCTCATTCAAGGCAACTCTGGCCTGCCCCTTAGACTGTGGTACTTGAAATGTGCTGAGCTGCTCCAGACCTTCAAACCATCTTCTCAGGATCTCTGGAAATACGAGAAGGCCTTTCTGAACAGCGACAAAACTGTATTTTTTTTCCTGGCCATGGCAAAAGGTATTTGGAAGAAAGCACATTTTCAGCCTGTGGATTTGTCAGTGCTGTGGCTTGAAGACAAGTAACCCACATCTGAAAACTGAATCCCTCTTTGAGCAGCCTTACAAAGATACGGTAACTAGCAACCAGAAAGAAGAACGTCCAAGTGAAAGACAAGTTGGCAACTTCTATTATCGAACTTCTGCTTGTATTTGAGAGCCATGTTCCTGTTTCTGCCTGATACTCTTGGTGAGATGTGACTGCATTTGAGTGACACAATTTCTCAAGAGACTTTGGTCCTACGATGTGGTAAAACAGGTCACTTGGTGCTCTGCTTATCTCATTAAGTCAGGAATAGCTTTGTTGAAAACAGGGATATTATATGGGTGTGTACGCAAGGAAAGAATCAAAAGTTTTGCCTTTTCTGTGATCTTTGGGCTGCATTTTTTAAAGGTTTTAAATGGGTTTTCCAAGGTGTGTTGGCACTGACCTCCCTTTGAGGCTGAGCTTAGTTAAATTTTTTTTGCAGTAGCGCCTTGTTTTACCTAGAAGTTTTGTGAGGGAAAGCATATCAGAAAAAGAGGTGGCCCAGAAGCTGTGATGGTGCTTGAGTAATCCTCCAAGAACATTCTGTAGCAGGATGGTCTCTGCACGCCAGCCTCAGTGCAGGACAGCCCCAGCGTGAAGAAGGAATAAGGGGGATGCTGGATATCAGGAGGACCCAAACTCTGGTGTCTGTGCCGGAGGAGATGAGCCCCTTTCCTGAGGATCTGGATGTGCTGTTAACGGGGCAGCAGCCTTAAAATTGTGCGCTAGGAAGGTAAAGACTTTAATTTGGCCACTGCATTATGGACCAGCCTTGAGGAACGTCCTGGAATCTCAGCTGAGAGGTGTCCAGGGCTTATGTGCAGAGAAGTACAAGGCACCAGTTTTTTTTTTTGGATTATCTACTTTGCAAAGCTTGCTGCTGTGAGCTGCTTCTCTCTATAGATAAGCCCTGGGTGGCACAAGGAAAGATGTGGGTGCTCTCCCTTCTCCTCGGGGGAGCTGTCAGGGGCAAGAAAGCAGCTGAGTGCTGGCCCTGTTCCCATCACAGCCTGCAAAGGAAGCAGGTGGCTGTCCAGGAAAAGGGCTGGAACAGGCTTCCTCCTCCCGAGGAAGGGAAAGGCCTCAGGCACTGGGACCTCCTCCATGCATTGGCAAGAAACGCAGCTACATTGGAAAGTGCTGTCCCAGCTTGCTCATCCTTGGGAGGAATAAGAGCCTCCGTTTCCCTCTGCTGCCCTGCTAATTGCCCACCTGCAGCTGGCAAACAGCTGGTGGGACCGTGCCGTAAGTCAACCTGCATCCCGCTGCATGCTGGTCAGCAAGGCGGGTTGTGTTTCTGCAGCTGAGTTCAAGTGCTCAGTGCGAGGAGAGGAATCCAAATATCCCCTTATTGGCAAAGATACAAACAGCCATGGGTGAAACATTTCCATTTCGCTTGAATGATGGTCTGCTGCCCTTACAAGCTCAGTTGCGACGATCTTCTTCACTGCTGAGTTTTGTCCTGTCTCTCGAGCTGATGCATCTCACCTTTTCAGGGGAAAAAAAGTTTCCTGGCCCCTCTTGTGATCCCCCCCACCCCCGGTTTCATTTTCATTTTTATCAAGTAGAAATTCAGCTAAGTTTCAAATTATCTCCTGTTTTGAATGGGAATGCAGGAGACTTGTTTTTTTTACTGCTTTGTGACAAGAGGGCATGCAACCCTCCTGGCATTTGGTGGTTGCAGTCAGCAAAGTGGGGGCAGATCGTGCCAATCTGTTATCAAGAGATCTGGCTCTCTGGAGGCCAAACCACCATAAACTCATCGGTAGGGCAGCGGCGAGGTAGCAGTTAACCCACAGGAGCGTGCTGCTGTGAGCAGCCAGCTGAATTTATTGGCAGAAGGGTTCCAACCTGGCTGGGAGTGTTTTCTCCTGCTCTGTGGACGTTGTCAGGGCCCAGGAGCTTTGAAACCTTGCAGAGGAATTCCCCAAGGCGTTGCTGAGCCTGGGTTTTAAAGGGCACTGTATTATCAAGTGCTTTATATAAGCAGGTGGAGTTGGAGACTGGAGCTGTTGGGTTGCAGCCTCTGTAAGCTCGGCAGCAGGCAATATTAAAGACAGCAGCTAAAGTTATGCCAGACGTCGCCCTGTCCAACAGGGGTTATTTATTCTCTCTGGTGTTCCCTTGTTTATGACGATCCCTACAATTTAGCCACCTGTGAGCCAGTATTTCCTTGCACTGCAGAATCCTATGGATATTGCCAAAGGGAGCTGTGGGAAGAAGTGGGCAGCAGTAGGTGTCAGCTAACCTGCTTTTGCAAAGGGTTGCAGTCTGGGTCTCAACGGGAGTGGTTTAATTTACAAAGGAGCTCGCTCCGGTGCAGCAAATGTTGCAGGCAGAGGGAATGTTCAAAATGCAAAAAGTAGGGAGAGAAAAGCAGAAGCTGGGGGATTAGAAATTAGGGTCCTCGGTAACTTTTTGTAGGGTCCGAGGTAGGTGGGAGAGATATGGTTGGACATCTTCGTTAGCCACATCACAGCTATGGCTTTAACAAGCCAACTGATGGTGGTTCCTCAGGCCGAGCTGAAGTAGTCGAAATTGTATTAGAGATCACAGTGGAGACTGCGGCTGGAAGCCATGGGGGTACCTACCAGACTGTGCAGTGCGGAAGGTGTTTCTCATCGTCAGCAAACTCTTTTCCTTCTTTCCAGTGTTGGCTTTCTAAGTTGAAGTTGCAAGTAAATCTTGCCCAGGCTTTCGGCTTTCCCCATCCAAGGCAGCTCCGGGACTTTTCACTTTCTTAGCTGAAAAATGTCACAAGGGGTTTTCCTTGCCTCAGGTTCCGGATGTCTGCAGGAAGGCTGGACAATTGTGCTCGGCTTAGCAATTGAACCTGCAGCCAAAAAGCCTCTTGTTAAGCTTTATATTTTTCAGTTATTCTCACTAAAATGGTAAAAATGATGAGTTTTCCTTTTGGTGAAAAAAGCAAACGTTTTTTTTTCTGTTTAACAAAAAGTGGGGGAAAGGGAGGGTTAAACTGAGGCACTGTCACAGAAGCTGCAGGGAGGGGTGAATAGGTTTCTGCATTATCCCTGTGGCCAGAACATTCACCCAGGAAGGAGGGATGGGTGTGAAGACCTACTGTGTCCCAGGGAACTTCAACCCACCCACAGCGCTGTGGTCTCAAGGTATAGAGGCAGGATTCAAACTCTGCTGCTCTGCAGTAGTTCGTGTACTGCAACAGCTAGGAGGTGAGATATGAGGGTGCTGGGATGCCCAGATCTGGGGTTTTTTTTTGAGGGTTTTTTGTTTCCATTAACCTGTTTGGGGCATTTGACCTGAATTTTCAAAGAGTTTCAGCCTGATCCAAACTATGGTTC